CTGTTAATAGGAAATAAAATATGAAGATTTCTTTAACTAATTAATTATAGATTCCTTTTTTAAAGGTATATAGCAACGAGATAATATTCTTTTTTGGCATTAAAATATATCAAGAATATCTAATTGATTCTTGACAAAACAGACTTTATTGTTAGCAAGATATCAGACCCTACATGTTTAATCGTCTAATCCTTGAAACAATATTGATTATTTGATTACAGAAACGTTTTCTAAATGAAGAAAAGAAATTCATTGGTTGATAAAGGTTTAACTGACGTAACTCCATCTTCTAAGAGGAAGTGTTCTACACCTAAATCCAGAGTTATAAGTAATTTGCAACAACCTAATTCATCTGAAAAGCAGACATCAGTTCCTGTGAAGTCAATATTTGGTAGGGTATTTACAGACATAACAAATTTGACTCCTGTGGTGTTAGAAGAGTCTCTTTGTCCTAGAGGGAAAAATTTATCAGTAACTGATACAGGTAAATCATTATATTGATCATTCTGCTAATTTTATGATGTTTACAGTTTTGCTTTATGTTTTTCTAAATGTACAATTTAGAACTTTATAATTGTTTTTTAGGTTCACTAGATGAGAACTCATATCTAACACCTGTTTGTGTTAGACAATCATTGTCTTCTCAAGAACCATACTCTTTATGCTCGGTTCCAATTACTGCATCCATTCACTCCTCTCAATGCCAGGGATATATAAATTCAACTGGTATATTGATAGTACATTTTAACATATTCGTGTTTTTTTTTTTTTTATATAAATCTGACTTATGTATTAAATGTATCCTATAATATACTGCAGAACTTAGTGAATGTTTGATAAATGATGGAGCAAATTTAACAGATATACCAATTAAACAGTCAACCTCCTCACTGGCCAGCAAGGATTTCCTAAGTTCTATCAGATCCGAAGCAATCAAATGTGATCAGTTTTTATCAACATAGCTTCATTTTTTTCAGCTTTCGTTAGATAGTCTTTTTTATCGTACTCATATAATTATTCATACACAATTTTCAGCAACATTGGCTGATGAAAATGTTCAAAACCTTTCATCAGTCAGAATAAGTCAATCTTATGCTCAACTTGGAGCAGATACCTTTTTATCCGACATAAGAAGAGAAGCTACAAAAAGTATGTTTTTAGTAAAGTTTGGTTTTTGATATTGTATTTTATTATTCAGCTTATTTCACATAATATATATGTCCTAAATCTATTTGCTTTTTGGTTAGACACCATCATTCAGTCTAATTCAGGAACCCAGACCTTAAAGTCAGCTAAGAAGAGAGCACCTAATAGGGTGTTAGGAGACATATCAAACAAACCTGATAGAAGAAGACGGCATGAGCCACTTGGGAGCAGTGTATTATATTCTGCACAAAACAAAGAAAATTATACACCAAACTGTGAGTATATATTTGATTTCATTTGCAAATATTAATATCAATAACAAAACCTTTATATGACATTAGACATAAATTTACCATTTTATGCAATTTGTACAGTTGAATATTCAGAACAGCAACCAAAACAAAGAAAATCTAAGAAGACTCCAAATTTGGAAGATTGTCGTGTAAATTTATTTGACTCCACACCTTTTGAAGGTAGTAATCATCTTCTATATAGTTTATATTTGGCTTTGGATTTTTAATGTATACTAATAAAAGTTTGTTGTCAAACAGAAGAAGAAATTTCTGATCTAGAACAGGAATATGATGTGAGTAGTCAAGAAGATATGGGTTCTGATAGCAGTTCTGGATATGAAACAGAATTATCAGTTGAAACAGATGAAGTAATACATGTTCAGAATAAGAGGGGAACATGTAGTAAAGGGAGAAAAGGAATTAGTCTTAAACGAAGAAAATATACTAAAGGAGCATCTAACCACATAAAAAGAAAAACAGGTTACTATCAACCAAACTCATATGTCCATAATTTCAGTGTTTACATATAAAAAAATTATTTATTTGTCTTTATTTTATTTCTTTTTCAGAAGCCCTCATTGACATTCCTTATTTAGATCACGGTGATCCAAAATGGAAATGTCAATACTGTGGTGCTATGATGTGGTATGATGAGCGTGTTAACAAAAGAAGAAAAAGCAAGAAACCAAAATTCTCTCTTTGCTGTCTTCAGGGAGCAGTTAAATTGCCATTTCTTAAAGAAGCACCTGAGTTAATTAGAGAATTGCTGAGTAAGGATGATGCACTAAGCAGGCATTTCCGTGAGAATATCAGAGCTTACAACATGTTATTCAGTATGACTTCTCTTGGCGGTAAAGTTGATAGATCTAATCCACAGGGAAAAGGTCCTAACCAGTTCCAACTACATGGAGCCAATTATCATTTGATTGGTAGTATGATTCCTGGTGAAGGAGATTATGCTAAATTCTCACAGCTTTATATTGTTGATACTGAGAATGAAGTTGATAACAGATCTACTGTCATGAGGTACCATATATATTTACTATTATTTATTACTAATTTTTAGTTGTGTATTATATTACATTTTATGGTATTTTCACTAATTTAGCATCCATTCACTTTCTGTGAGTGTAGCAAGGGCAAAAATCCAAAGAAAACAACAGTCAAGAATCAAGTCAGAAAGGACCTCATTGCAAAGCTCATCAAATTGTTGGATGATTGCAATCCCTACGTTGAAAATTTCAGGATGGCAAAAGATAAGTTGGATAGTACTGATGGTGAACCGTTCTACATGAAGATTGTTAGTGATAGGGTAGGAAAAGATGGAAGAACTTATTCCAACCCTACAGCGTCTGAAGTTGCAGCTTTGATTCCCGGAGATTTTCGTCCTGAAATGCCTACACGTGATATTATTGTTCAAAATAAGAAAACAGGACAGCTTTCAAGAATAAGCGAAGTTCATCCTTCTTATGTCCCAATGCAATATCCTCTCATATTTATTTATGGTGAAGATGGATTTAGACCAGGAATAGAAAAGGGATATACAGGCAAGACAGAAAAACAAGCAAACAAGTGTATAAGTATGAGGCAGTGGTATGCTTTCAGAATACAAGAGAGATTTGATGAAGCACAGACACTACTACGTTCAAAGCGTTTGTTCCAACAGTTCTTGGTAGATGGATACACAACACTGGAATCCAACAGGCTGTCCTATATTAAGTTTAACCAGTCTAATCTGAGATGTGAGAATTATTCTACTCTTAAGGCTGCCTCAGAAGCTGGAAACACCAACATGGGTGAACAAGGTAAATCAATACGTATTCCATCTTCTTTTACTGGTGGACCTCGCTATATGTTGAACAGTTATTATGATGCTATGGCTACGTGTAAAATGTATGGTTTCCCAGACCTGTTTATAACATTTACATGTAACCCCAAGTGGCCAGAAATAACTAGATATTGTAAAGAGCGTAAACTTAATGCGGATGATAGACCAGATGTTGTGTGTCGGATATTCAAGATGAAGCTTGACTCTCTTATGAAAGATTTAACAGAAGACCATCTTCTAGGAAAAACTGTCTCTGGTAATGAATTGTTTTGTTTTTACAGATATGTTTTATGTTTGTTTATTTTATTGCCTGTTACTGTACGAATATGAGTTTAAAATGGTTATTGCTATTTGCAGCTATGTACACAGTGGAGTTTCAGAAAAGAGGACTACCACATGCTCATATACTCTTATTCATGGATAAAAGTTGCAAATTTCCAACATCTGATGATATTGACAATATCATCTCTGCTGAGATTCCAGATAAAGCTAAGGATCCTAAGTTATATGAGGTTGTAAAGGAGTGTATGATACATGGTCCATGTGGTGCGGCCAACAAAGATTCACCATGCATGGTTGATGGCAAGTGTTCTAAGTTTTTTCCTAAGAAATTGGTTGAGCAAACAACAGTTGGTAAAGACGGATACCCAATATATAGAAGGCGGGAATCTCAGCACTTTGTTGAAAAAGGTGGTATTAAGTGTGACAACAGTTATGTTGTTCCGTATAATCGCCTTTTATCATTGCGTTATAGAGCTCACATCAACGTTGAGTGGTGTAACCAATCCGGTTCTATCAAATACTTATTTAAGTATATTAACAAAGGACAAGATCGTGTAGCTATCGTTGTTGAACCTAATGACAAGAATACTGATACGGAGACTGGATCAGCAACTGGCAGTAAAGAAAAAAGTAAAGATGAAATCAAAGATTACTTCGATTGCAGGTATGATATAATATTCCTTAGTGAATATATCTACTATATCAGTTTTATATTTTCAGGTTGCAATAATTTACATTTTTTCCCTTAATAAATAGGTATGTTTCAGCTTCTGAAGCTGTTTGGAGGATATTCAAATTTCCCATCCAGTTTAGGACTACACCTGTGATGAAGCTTTCTTACCATCTTCCTGGAAAGCAACCATTATTTTTCGATGGCACCCAGAATATTGATGAACTATTGGATAGAAAAGCAAACGAAGATTCTATGTTTATGGCTTATCTTAATCTGAATAAGGAGAATGAGTTTGCTAGACAGTTCACTTACGCAGAGATTCCTCAATATTTCACTTGGGATGGACAGAATAAGCAGTGGAAGCTTAGGGAAAGAGGTTTCTGTATAGGGAGAATAAACTATGCCTCCATTAAAATGGAACCAGAATATTACATGAGGATCCTTCTTGGGATAGTAACTGGTCCAAAGAGTGATGAAGATATCAGAACATACAAAGATGTTGTGTATGAGACATACAAGGAGGCATGTTTGGCACGTGGTATTCTAACAGACGATCAAGCTTATATTGATAGTATAGTGGAAGCAAGCTTATTTTTCTTTGGAGATCATCTTCGTAATTTCTTTTCTATGATGCTTCTGGATAAATGTCTTGCAAGACCGGAGTATGTGTGGGAAATGTGTTGTGGAATTTTAACTGAAGACATCGAAACAAAGAAAAGAAATCAGTACAACAATCCAGGTTTGTTGAGATACAATTTTTTTCCGTTGGTTTGCTTGCTTTCCGTTTCTGTTATAATGAAATAGTGTTTTTCTTTTTTACTCCAGATTTAGTATTAACTGATGCTGAGAAAAGAAATTATGCTCTTCAAGAGATAGAAGATTTGCTGTTGTGTAATGGGAGTACTCTGACAGACTTCAAAGACATGCCTAAACCTACTCAAGAAGGTATAGATCATTCAAACCGTTTCATTACAGAAGAGAAAAATTATAACCGTGATAAGTTGCGAGAAGACCATGATGAGTGGGTTAATAAGATGACTTCTGAGCAAAAAGGCATTTATGATGAGATCATTGGTGCTGTTTTAGAAAACAGTGGAGGTGTCTTCTTTGTTTATGGATTTGGGGGAACCGGTAAAACTTTTATGTGGAAAACTCTATCTGCCGCAGTTCGAATGAGGGGTTTGATTTCTGTCAATGTTGCGTCTAGCGGGATTGCTTCTTTGTTGTTAGAAGGTGGTAGAACTGCACATTCTAGGTTTGGCATCCCTATTCATCCTGATGATTTCACAACATGTCATATCGTGCCTAACTCAGACCTTGCTAATATGCTTAAGGAAGCATCTCTTATCATATGGGATGAAGCTCCTATGATGAGTCGTTATTGTTTTGAGTCATTGGATAGAAGTCTAAATGATGTTATTGGAAATGTCGATGGAAAGCCATTTGGTGGTAAAGTTGTTGTTTTCGGAGGTGATTTCAGACAAGTACTCCCTGTAATACATGGTGCTGGTAGGGCAGAGATTGTTTTAGCTGCATTAAATTCATCTTATCTCTGGGAACACTGCAAGGTCCTCACTTTGACAAAGAACATGCGTCTTATGGCTAATGATTTGGATAAAGATGAGGCAGAGAAAATTAAAGAGTTTTCTGATTGGCTCTTGGCCGTTGGTGATGGTAGAGTTTCAGAGCCTAATGATGGTGAAGTTCTCATAGATATTCCAGAAGATTTACTGATTAAAGATGTAAATGATCCTATTGAAGCTATTATCAAAGCAGTTTACGGAGAATTGGATTTGTTGCAGCCTAATAATGATCCTAAATTCTTTCAAGAGAGAGCTATATTGTGTCCAAGAAATAGTGATGTCAACACCATCAACGACATCATGCTTGAGAAACTTAATGGTAAGAATTACGTTTTAATACTATAATCTTTAACTGTATATGTATAAGAAACTTATCTAACAAATTTTCCCTAAACAGGTGAAGCAATGACTTATTTAAGTGCAGACGATATTGATCCTCAGGATGGTGCTTCATTGAACAATCCTGTCTTCACACCTGATTTCCTCAATAGTATCAAGCTTTCTGGTTTGCCAAATCACAGTCTCAGTCTCAAGATTGGTGCACCGGTTATGTTACTGAGGAATATTGATCCAAAAAATGGTCTATGTAATGGTACTAGATTGCAGATAACGCAGATGGGTAATCATATACTTGAAGCCAAAGTGATTACTGGAGATAGAATCGGAGACAAAGTGATAATCCCTAAATCTCAGATATCACCTTCAGATACCAAATTGCCTTTTCGCATGAGGAGAAGATAGTTTCCAATATCTGTGGCTTTTGCAATGACAATAAACAAAAGCCAGGGACAATCACTTAAAGAGGTAGGGATTTATCTTCCTAGACCAGTATTTTCTCATGGCCAGCTGTATGTTGCCTTATCAAGAGTCACTTCCAAAAAAGGTTTGAAAGTTCTTATTGTGGATAAAGAAGGAAAAACTCAGAGTCAAACAATGAATGTCGTCTTCAAAGAGATCTTTCAGAACCTAAGGAATTAGGATAGTTTTAGTTTTTTTGCTTCTGTTATTTAACTTTGTAGATGTTTTGTATTGTTTTTTAGAACAGCAAGTTCCTTTCCATAGTCATTTTAATCCAAACATAATCAGACTCTCTGCAACTACAGTAGTGTAAGTTTAAGAGTTCATTTCTAGACAACAAAATCAAGAAACCTTAGTTCAATTATAACTCCGATTGAGACAAACAACAACTTCAATTTGTGTCTACAACTGAAAAAACAGATCCAAAACTAACCTTATAGAAATGACAATTGCTTTAAGTGTTGTCGATTTGCAAAATTTGATCTGCAAATGGTTTCATTCATCCTCTGTTCTTCACTGATCCCCTCTCCCAGATTTCTAACAGAAACAAATTCATCATCTCAAGTGCTTTATCCGAATCCTATATGAAAAAGGTAATTGATCACAGAATCTAAATTATCTTGAAACAATTCAATTGAATTAGAATGAAGCTTACATCATAAGAAGAATTGGCGCAGAGATGTGAGCTTATGATCTGATTATCAGCTTCTTCGGTATCATCGGTAAAGCTTAAGCGTGTCAATGGGTGTTAACTCTCGGTGGAGAACGAGAATCATCGTTCTCATATGTTTTTTTTTTTTTTTTTTTTTTGTTTTTTTTAATTTATTTAAATACACAACTTATGTGTCTTTAATTTTTAAAAAAACATAATTTTAATTTTATTTGTTTACTTTATCTTCAATTTTTTAAAAATTTTTAATAAATGTTAGAATCTTTGTTATGCTAAAAACAAATTCTCTTCAAAACTATATAGTAAAAGAACACTTATAATCACAAAAACAATTACACCACTTTTACTATTTCACATTTTAATATCTACTTTTACTTATATTAACATTACAAACCCATTTTATAATTAATACACCTATTTAAATATATTAAATCACATTCTTCTAAGTATTACATAACAACCAACCAATTAAAATACCACTTATTAGTTAAAAATGATTTAATTTAAAAACCAAGTTTATACCAGTTGAACATAAAACATAATCAACTACTTAATAAGAAAACCGCACAAAATCTACGCCCGCGGGATACCGCGGGTTAAATCCTAGTCATATCTAAATTCACAAAACATATTTAAATATTTGCATTACTTGTCTCAAATATACACAAAATCCGTGGACGAGGTTTTTCTTCTCTCCCTATTTGGGCATCTAAGTTTTTTTCATTTGTATACAACTTATAAAATCTATGTAACATAGATCTGCTAACAACTTTTGGTAAGAAAATCAAACTTAAACTCATCAGTTCCTTGTTACACGGAAGAGTGTAAAAACAAAAACAAGACTTGATAGTATTTTATTTTGTCTTTTTCTTTGAACAAATCTCAACTTTTCATTGTTGTTTGTTGTTGAAACTAGAAGATGGATTTGCTACCATCAAAATATAAGATTCACAAGACAAAGTTAAGATGGATCTTAACAACAATGACGATGATGATGATTAGAAGAGGAGAATCAATGAGATTAGATATGGAATCAGGTACCTCAAAATGTATCTCCGATGACATCAAAACAAATTACATGACCGTTGGGACTTATTCCATCGTCAATCCTAACGAAGGCCACCATCTTCCGCCTTCTCACAAACTCTTCGTCACTGTAAGTATTCACTATGAATCTATGAATCGTTTAATGGAGAATCAAATCTTATGTATATCTCTTTATAGGTGTCATCTCCTAAAGGGAAAAGCCATCATCATGCAGAGAATGTAGAGTCCGGGAAATTCGTGTTCACGGCAGATGAAACCGGCGATTACATGACGTGTTTTGTGGCTCCAGGTTATAGACCTACGGCGAGATTCGCGGTTGATTTCGAATGGAAAAGCGGTGTAGAGGCTAAAGATTGGACCACTATCGCCAAGAGAGGCCAAATAACCGTAAAAACTACATGTTACCTAACTATAGTTATTCTTTTGCATATATTAACACATATATCTCCATATGTATAACTTAGTTCTAATTTTCAATGTGATATGTTTATTCTCAGATGCTGGAGGTGGAGGTGAGGAAATTACTCGACGTGACCGAAACTATACATGACGAAATGTTTCAGCTCAGGGAGAGGTACAATTTAATTAAATTTAGTAACAGAAAATTTATTATAAATTTGACAATTTATCAGAATCGTATTTTTTGAACAAGAAGTTATATTTTCGTTATAGTATGGATGCTTTATACTAAAGTGAGAGCCTGTAACAAAAAAAATAATCTAATTAAACCTGTGTTCTATACTTCTTATTTGATTAGTTCGGTTGTTCAATTGTTGGAAAAAGTATGTTGAAATTTTTTTAACACTTTTTAGGGTTTCATATTTTAAAACATAATTTCATTATTTTCTATTTCTATCATTCAAAATAGTAATCAAATTTTTTACATTTTTCAAATCATTAGAAATAATTTTGTCATAATACTAGTTTACTACGAATTTGTTAAACATATAACTGCAAATAATTTAACACCGTTAATTTACTTAAACTAGTTTTTTATAGCGGTTTATGATTTGAAAATTTGTTATCCGATTACTTGACTATTCTGTTATTTCAAATAATTATCTAACATACTATTGAAACCGTTACAAACTCAACTATGAGCTTTCACTTTGATTGATGTAGGCAATGAGATTGTTTACAAATTCCATTTACCTGATGTAGTTAGCAACAAAAGAAAAAGCAATTCATGTTTATAACGGGTAATGTGAAATTTGTGACAGGGAACGGGAAATGCAAGAGTTAAACCGATCAACGAATTCAAGAATGGCAGCTCTCAGCTTATTGTCGTTTGTGGTAACAATGTCGGTCGCGGGTTTACAACTATGGCACCTCAAGTCATTCTTGGAGAGGAAGAAGCTCCTCTGATCATACTTGTTGCTTCGATTGCGTTCAATAGATTTTGGTGTTTTCGGTTTAGCTTCGTTTACTTACTTAACCAATCAATAGTCTTGATTTTTGAATTTTGAGAAATTAAAATTGCAAATTTGCTTAGACCAAAGTCCAGATCATATATTTGCACTGATTTGTTCTCTGTATTTTGGTTTGGATCTGTTTTGTAGTGTAGTATTAAGAAATTGGCTCTTTAGTCATCTTAGACACCAAAAGAGAGCCCTAGTTCTCACACGCTCGGAACACTATAGAGAACTTTATGTATCTCTCAAGAATGTTATGGAAGGCTTATGCCTCGCGGGTCCGCCCGTTTAGGCTCTGGAAACTCGAATATCAGTTTCATGTCATTCTGTTAGCAATTTTAAAAATCATCGACAGAAATGAGCTGGTTCCATAGATAACTCAACCCGCAAGTTCAGACGGCTGAGAGTAAAACCTGCCAAACCAGACGGCTGGGTAAAACCCGCCAAACCCGTTATTTTGCAGGTTAAAGGATCCTCTAGTAGATCATTTACGGGTCAGAAAGTAGTAGGCGGATTCGTTAAACCAAACGACATCACTAGAAAACACACTACAACTATTTCATAATAACTTATGAAGGTCTCATTTTGAAGTTAGCAAAAACACGAAGCAAAAAACAAAACAACAATTGACATAAACGTAGAGAGAAGTGTGTTTTTTTTTTGGTCGACTAGAGAGAAGTGTGTTGGTGGAGTTACTTATTTAGTCATAAGAATGCAATCCCAAATCATAAAGCTTTTAGTCATGTCCCTTGTGGTGCTTATCCTTCTTCTTCTTCTTCTCATCATCATCATCATGATGATCCTTCTTCTTCTTCTTCTTCTCATCATAATCATAGTGCTTCTTCTTCTTATCACCATCATCATCATGATAGTCTTTCTTCTTCTTCTTCTCATCATCATAATCATAGTGCTTCTTCTTCTTATCACCATCATCATCATGATAGTCCTTCTTCTTCTTCTTCTCATCATCATGATACTCTTTCTTCTTCTTCTTCTCATCATCATCATCATACTCATTCTTTTTCTTCTTCTTCTCATCATAATCATCATCATGATGATCCTTGTACTCATCTTTCTTCTTCTTCTTCTTGAACTCATCTTCTTCAGAGTTATTACCATCTTTCTTCTTATCCTTCTTCTTCTCCTTCTTCTTACTCTTCTCATCTTCATCATCATATTCCTTACCACTCTACAACATTTCAATAACCATTTCTTTAACATCAATGAATCTAACAAAAGTAATCTCTAACCGATTCAAACCTCCATTATCGAACATGGTAGTTGCTTCAACAAAATCTAATTTTCAATTTCAAATTTCTCAAACTTACTTGTTTTTTGTGACCATCGTTATCATCATCCTTATGACCGCCATGGCTAGGTTTCAAGTAATCGCTCTCAATTCTCCCACCATAGCCAGATCCGTGCTCCGATTCAGGTTTCCAGCCATACTCAACCTCCGTTCTTCCGCCATATCCAGAATTAGGTTTCCGGCCAAAATCAGATCCACCGGATCCAGATCCAATGGGTCCGGGTCGTGCATAGCTACTGTACTCGGTTTTTAGAGCTTGGTCGTCATAAGCAGAAGACTCGTGGTTTGAGGAAAAATTAGGTCGCTGATACTCAAAGGCGTCGCCGGAGCGAGACGAGAGAGGGTAACAAGTCTCGTCGGACGGTGGAATTGAGCGGCCGTATGTTACGGTGATGTCATAGCCTCCACTATACGGTAACGGATCGTATTCGGTGAAATCGTCGACGTCATTGTCGTCGTTGGTGTAATACGGCATCGTTTTCGCAGAATTCGTCTTCTTCTCTCTGATTCTTTTTGGGATCTCTGAAAAAATGAAGATGCTGAGTTTTGTTTTCCTCTGTTTACATGGCGACTACTACGTAGGAAAAGTCAATGGGTTCCACGTGGCTTTATCTGTATTGTCTAATAAGTTAAAGTAATGTTTATTATTTTAATCCAAAATTAAATGATGTGGCAGGACTTGTCCAACCTTAAAACTTCAAAGTATCACCAATCATCATTTCTTTTCGAAAATTCAAGTTTGAATTTGAATATTGTTGAGTTAGTAACATTTTTGAGTGATGTTCTTTGTAAATTTGTTGGATCAAAACTTAACTTATATAATTTTTCATGAATGCAGACAATAATTTTATTTAGGAAAAATGATTGTCAGCGGTTCAAAATATAACCTAACACATAGACCCTATTTTTTGAGTACCGTTGCGACAAATAGTAGCGACTCAAAATTGGAAAAGATATAAAGAAAAGAGATAAAAGTGAGATATGCGAGA